TCTTCCATTTGTATTATCTTGTCTTGCCCCTCCTTTCCTCTTATATGACATTTTGTATAAAAAGAGTCACTGAACTATAAAATCAATGTTTTTAAAATGAGCCTGACATAAATGATTAGAGATGAATTGTAAAAGCCTCAGAAGTGAACAAACATGTTTAGACAGAGAAATGCCATTTGGTTTTATATTAATTATATCCTTGAAGTTTTTCCCCAGTCCCTGTTTTTACCTTTTCTCATAGGTGCCACTTGTGTGTTAAAGAAGAAATTCTCAGCAAGTCAATTTTGGAATGATTGCAAGAAGTATAATGTGACCGTATTTCAGTATATCGGAGAACTATGTCGCTATCTTTGCAAACAACCTAAGGTAAGACAACTTATCATTAGAGAACTTAAGTTATTTCAGAAAGAACAAGTGTATATATAGAAAAGGTAATTTGTATTTTTTGTTTATACTCCACATTCTTCCAGAACTAGTTTAGCTGAAATAGAAAAATGTGTGCAATATACCAAGATAAAATAAATATAAAATAGAGAAAATAATAAGAGATATATCCAGAAAAATACTAATGTGCCTGTATTATAGCAAAACAGAACACATCTATGATTCAGTGCACTGGAGTTTAGGCTAGTTCAAGTATCTATTATAAAATTAGATGCATGATATGTTTACAGCTATTCCAAGTACAAAATAGATAAATCTTTTAAATGTTGTTCTTAAAGAAAACTAATGGCACTGATTATGTTTGCTTTTTCTACTTTTTTTCTTTTGACTACATGATTATATTAGAATATATTTTAGTTTTGCTTTACTTTACAGATAAATTTTGCTCTGATTCTTGCTTTTTTCTCCACCTAAGGCAGTCATTTCCATATTCTTTTGATCAATCACCACCACCTAAAAAATAGACACACAGAGAGTGCTGCAAGAGCTTGAAGTTTGTCTTTATTGGTTTGTTTGCTTTTTTTTGCCCTAGGAAGATATTTTCCTTTTTCTGGTCTCATTTATCTTTCCAAATACTTACTTTTTAACTTCCTATTTTTCTAAACATTCCCAAGGCTACAACTAACTGTCCTCCTTTATCAAATTGACATTATTGTCTTCAAGAATGGCAGTGGAGGATGCCTCCCCATTCCACAGGTGGGGCAGGACAGCAGGATCTTGGCCTTTGAGATATACCTTTCTAGGTTGGGGCTGTCACCATCTTTGCCACCATCACACCTGCTTCCTGCAGAGTTGGTGGACTGGGATATCTTTTCTCATTTCCTCTGGTTAAAATATGGACACATAATTCTTTCACTAATTATTCACAACATAGCTGATATTATATTGGAGGCATTTAAGCAAGGCTTTATTAAAGATATGGGGTTACACAGAGGAGACAAATACAGAGAATACCATGAAATTGGCTAGTTAATCTGACTTAAGAAAATGCTTTTCATTTTGAGCTTGCTGTTTCCCACAAAGAGACCTCCAGTCTATCTCCTGACCTCCTCTTTGGGGCAAGAGAAGCCATGTTCTTCTTTCTTTTCTATCTTCTTCTTTCTTTCTTTATCTTGGTTAGAAATTTTCCAAATTACTATAGACACCACATATCCATAGCTACGTCATGAAGTTCCAGAGAACATTTTTGTGGTTTTTGAACTTTTCTCTCTTCAAGAACACTTTTCTTTAGATAAGGATGTGGTCTTACCTGAAGTGTCTCACCCACTAGAACAATAATACCCTAGCTTCATGTATTTTCCCTCCTAGTGTTCAGTGTATTCTTTGGTAATGTGAAATCTGCTAGTTTAATTTAGGGAATCAATGCCTTCCAGTAAGATTAAAGCCACTTTCAATGGTGTTTTATTACTATAAATAATACAAGACATAGGTTCTAACTGATGACACTCTTTATCTTCTTTCTTAATCATCACCCCAGCCATTCTGATTGCCTCTCTAACCTCTTAATAGCAACATCAGCTCTTCTAAGGTAATTTGTTGAGCTAAGAATTAATAAATAATTAATAAATTTAATTTTTTTTCTAAAATTTTACCAACCTAATCCTGTAGTTAGTGTCATTGTGCAATTTAACCAGTACAGAGCCTCAGGAATGAAAGTAAATAGTTAAAGGGTATGTATAATTTTTCTGATTTTTCTGGAATATTCCAAGATTTCTGTTTAAGGTGGGCAAAGTGATTTAGAATCCCATTCACCACATGGGAGTATGCCTATTACACAGTTCTTTATTAGTACTGGGTGCTGTTAAAATCTGTGGGCTTTCTCTTGTGCTTCATGGAGAACTAGAAGTCCTTGAAGCCCCCTGAAAAGTCTCTGAAAATCAGAGCAAAGGAGCGCAAGCAGGCCAGTCTCCATGCCAACACTTTTGAATATTGTAGATGAAACCCAGTTACTTCAGGCTTCTCAAAGGACATTTAAGTTTTTTTTTTTTTTAAATTGGGAAAATGATTACCTAATGTCATTTATGTTTTTTAGACTAAAAAGAAGAATGTATTATTTTTCTCTGTTTAGCTTACAAAGCAGATAGCTTTCTATCTCTGTTATCTTTTCTAAAAGTCTCTTCTTTTACCCACTTGTCTTTTGGGCACAGAATGTTTTATATCTGTTTGAAGTTTCACTTTACATAATAAAGGTATTAATAGTGTGTCATATTGGCTAAAAATCTTTTCTCAGGGTGCTTTCCTTTGAATTTTTAATGAACTGATACATCTTTTTTAATCTCTCTGAATTTGTATTGCACTAGTTTTAGGAAAATATTTCAGCTGCAGATAATTTAAGGGAATTAAGAACTGAAAAAGAATTCCTGGTTGTCTTTAATCAATTTTATTTTAATTTCTAATTTTAATTCTTAATAAATCTTTTTTGCATAAAAGATAATTTTCATGAAAGAGGAGAAAATGGAGATAAATATAGCTTTGCCCAAAGGAAAACTTGATCATTTTTTTTTTTTAAGGAAAGAAGCTTTGCATTACCTAATCTGCTTTTGTTGATTCCACACAAAAACAAGTACAGGCAGTTCTTGGCATTAAAGATTAGAAAAAGGAGAAAGTCATTTGTTCTGACACATCCATTCAAGRAGATCTTGCTTTTTTGCTGTCCACTGTTCCTTTCAATGAGCATTTCTCGAGGTGAAGGGAGTATCTACTGTGTAGCCAGCTCAGCAGTGGATTCTGGTAGGGCCAGAGTGAACAAACTGGTAGGGTCTCTCCTAAGAGAACTAAAACTAAGCATCTCATAAGCCATTGTTTGAAACCTCACATGCACTTATTTCAAAGGAATCTTTAAATAAAAGAAAGCAGCACCAGGGGTTTTCAAAATAAATCCAGTTTTGTTGACAATATCCAGATTCTAAAAGAGATTTACCTGCAGTCAAAAGTCTCAGTCTGAATTGAGTGTTTACATGGATTTCCATTAAAGCTTCTTAAGACTGGCTTTCCCTGACTGGCAGCCTTTATCCACCGCCATTTTTTTTTTTTTAATTCAAAATTTCAGTTACCAAAGTTCCTTCAGTATAAACATTAGATGCCTCTTTACAATGGTTCGCAGCAGCAGTAGGTGTACAAAAAGCCAAAGGAACCGATTCTTCTTGGTTATGCAGAGATGGTCTAATAATTTACCTTTTTGCTTTCATGATGAATTTGTGTTTCTTTTCCATCCCTCCATCTGTTAGTATTCTCTTCTCAAACATTCTAAAAACTTAAGGTTGATACAAAATTGCCTGTATTTAAACCTACAGAGGTTGTTTCCTGTTTTGTTTTGTTTTTGTGTCTGTACAGGTGATTCAGCTACAATCTTTTTTTTTTTTTTAATTTTGAGTTAGGGTCTTGCTAAATTACTGAAGGTCTGGCTAAATTGCTGAGGCTGCCCTTGAACTTGTGATTCTGCTGCCTCAGCTACCTAGGTCTCTGGGAACATAGGTGTGTACTACTTGGAAGGTCACTTTTCTTGGGTACTAAAAGAGGCTATTCAGCCTGTGTGTATTGGGGATTCTCAGGAATCCAGCCCATGTGTTGGAAGAAAGAGGCTTTGTTTCTAGGATGGAGATGTTGATCTGGTAGGAAGAAACTTGTATTCAGTCCCTGTCTCATTGCATTGCAGTTCTGCTTATACTTCTGAGAGTAAAAAGCTCCCAAAGAGCCTTTTGAAGAAAGCAGGCCTTGGTTTGGTGTATGTGACTCCTTTGCTGGTATCATCATATCAAGCTGAGACATGGTACTGAAAGCCAGAGGGAAACAAATGTCTATTGAAATCCAAGACCTTAGAATTTCTCTGTGTTAAATGCTCTGACCCTTTCAGAAAATTCTTTTTTACATTTTAAAAGGAATTGTAAATGGGTGAAGGTGAAATGACTATTATCTGTTTATTGGGAGTGGCTTACAATATGTGGATGTGCAGACTGTATTCAAYATTAAAACTGCTGAAAGATTCAATTTGCTTTTTGAGATTCACTAAGGGCAAAACTACTAGTATTGATGGCTTTCTATTACTGAAACCATGAGGACAGGGTTAGAAAAATAGAACATGGGTTTTGAAGCATTTTGGAATTGGTTTCCTTCCTTTTTCCCTCCTTTCCTTTTTTCCACATATGTGCTGTGAACCCCTCTTATGCACCAGGCCCTATTGCAGGCATTACGGTGGGCACTATCATAGGCACTGCAGTGCAGCCAAGCACAGAACAGGCATCCATCCCTGCCCTCATAGAGCGTATGCTTATGTAGTTCAAATTCTGTCTCTTTATGGTATGTGCCCTTGGACCTGAACTTCATTATCCCAATTTGCCAAATGGAAATAATGATTATTTTATACAGTGACTCTGATGATTGAAATGAACTAACACAATAACCTGGATTTGGGGGCTCATACATGTCTGCCACCTTTGCTTTTCCTAATATGCTGCAAACAGCTTTTGTTCCTGACCTGTTCTCTCTCTCTCTCTCTCTCTCTCTCTCTCTCTCTCTCTCTCTCTCTCTCAAATGTCTCTCTGCATGTGTCTTTTCTGTGTATCTCAGTACTTTTGCTTCTGTGTGCAACTCTAAGTGTCAACTTATTTGTGTGTCCCTGTGTGTGGGCCTAGTTTGTACTGTTTTCTCTGTGTCTCTGTCTCACTTTGTGTGTGTGTGTGTGTGTGTGTCCATGCATATGACAGAGAATTTCTCTGTGCATTCATCTCTGTCTTTATCCCTCTGTGTGGCTCTGTCTCTGTGTGAAGGTGTCTTATTTTGCACCTGCATATGCTTGTGTGTCTGTATCTCTCCATGTGGGTCTATCTGTGTATGTAATTCAGTGTCTATGTTTCTGTGTATCTCTATTTCACTCTTTCTTCTTTGTTCATTTCTCTTTCTCTCTCTATCCCCCTCCCTCTCCA